AGGCGGCAGACAGGAGGGTGCTGCTTACCCCGGCTGGGTCCTGGTGCCCGCCGGTGGGAGTGCCGGTGGTGTAATCTTCGGTCATGCACACATCCGTTCTCTGCTTAGCGTGTGGCTTTTCTGTCTTTGCAAGTATGAAATGGGTGTGCAAGGATTCGGCGCTCACTGTTCACGAAAAAGACCGAGCTTAGTGCCTGACCTTACTGTTGCTTCCAGAAGATGCTCGCTTATCTGCCAGAAATGCCTCACAGTGCAGCTTTCAGGGTCAAGTTGTGGGCTTAATCCTACCTAATTCCATCAGCACAGATCTCTCGGCTTGCAATTATCATGTCTCCCTTTGACAGTGCGTTTAATTATAAAATGCTCTCCTGAGAGGTGAGAGATACTGAGCGAAGTGGCATGTTTATAATACAGAGTTATAGCTCTGGGACATTGCCCACATATTCTCTTCTGCTAGCAATGACTCTCTGTTCTCTTTCTTTCTCCAGAAAAAGAAAAGAGAATTACTCCTATAATTGTGTATCCAACACAAAAAACAACATCAGCTGCTCTGGGTAAGGCCCAACATTATTTTTGGAAATGTCTAAGCTGAGAAGAATTAGACTAGGTCCACTTCTGCAGTAATTTGTTGGCATAAATTGTTGTAGTTCTTTTGATTTCCACCATATTGGCTGAGGGTTGGTGCCAAAGTAGTTTCTGCTTCTTATTGTCTACAACTAGACATGATCTATCATGTAGGAGAAGCTGCAGAACTGCTGTAGACTTTAGCCACTATCAAAGCAGTAAAAGCATGTTTGCACCATCAGATCAGCTGTCCAGAGCTCTCTCTGCACTAAAACTTTTCTTTTGCAGTATTTCCTCAAACTGGTCTAGGTTACCTGGTGGCTTTGAATGAGCCATCCAGCTCTTTTGGGAGGAGACATCTATTTAACTGCTTTTTACTGTTTGAACTGGGCAATTGATAGTTAGAAAGTACCTTGATACGGTCTCAGTTTTTCTTTGAAGATTTTATTATGACAACAAATTTCTGTGGCGTTTCTTTTTCCCAGAAAATGCCAGGTATATTTTACACTAAGGTTTCTTAACTTGAGTACTATACACACAGCTGTGTCCTGTGATGTCTTAGTTCTCCCTACCACTTTTCTTTGCATCAGCATAGACTACCAAGTGATTTTATGTTTTTGCTTATTGACCTCTGTGGAGTGTTTTATATCCCTTTTGTCACCATCTGCACCGATACAATTGTATGCGTTACTGAGCCTATGTAATATAGATACACACCAGCGTGAAGGCTCTTTATCCTTGGCTCTGAGTTACAATAATTATAGCAAAAGTTCTGAATTTTTGCATGTCACTTTATCCCTGGAGGTCCCACCTTAAGCTGAATGCCCTTGACCACAGCATCTCTTAGTGAAGCTACACTGCTGGTTAATGCAGCTGCTCCAGGGTGGTAAATCACACCATGCCCCTTTAGGCTGCAGTGTGTCAGAAGGACCAAGGCCACAAAAACACAGCTTTGCCTCCTGAGGAATATGTCTAGTGCAAGACTAACTAATTGCTGCAATGGGAAAATAACTTGGTTGGCAGTGGGAAGGACTGCCAAACTGAAGGGTCTTGCTGCCAAGAGTAGGAGATCAAAAGCAACCTGGGGCTTAACTTCAGATTTGAATGTAGTGGTGCTTGACATGTGTAGGAACTTGATCTCCCAGTCGAGAGGCTGGTTTTCACCAAGAAGAATAGTTCGTCATATGTATCCAAATGGGGTTTTAATCTTTCTTTTACCAACAGGTTCCAAGATGACTCTCCCATGCAAAGCGTTTGTTGGACTGAGCAGCCACTTCCATACCGATGTGGAATGGCTAGCAAATGACACCACCATTGATGTGATTTACAACAAAAGCAGAGTTACAGAGGGAGAACGACAGTAAGTCTGGCTGAAAGTGTTTCCTTGTTCCAGGGGCTCTCAGTGCAGCTGAATGCCAGATAGTGAAATGGGACGTGAATAGGTTTGAAGTGAAGGTGAGAGCTGAGAAAAAAAACCCAGCAGGCAAGCAAAAAAACCCCAACCCAATCCAGACAGGGTGAAATCAATTCTTTACCTCTGTTTCTTGTTCATGGTATATTGCAAATGAGCCAGCTGCAAGGCTTAAACTTGAAGCACAATTTCATGGGCAGCCGAGTTGATGGAAGAGCTGACGGCAGTGGAAAACAATGGGACTTGGTCCTTCCCAGTGCTTCTCTTATCTGTCTCCTTGCCCCATGCCAGTGAAATGGCAACATCCTGTCCCTGACATTAATGAGGTTCTCTGAACACACTAAGAGAACAGAAAACTATCCAGTGTTTTGGGTTTTGTTGTTATAGCATCAGTGTTTTTCCCCTTAGGCTTGCTCCTTTTCAAATTAGTGAGTTAAACTGACTCACAGAGATGCCCAGTGAGTGCTAGAGCTGACGCCAGGGAAACACCATGGGAATGCTGCTGGAAGGGAGAGGCAAGATGTCCTGCATCCCGTTGCCCTGATCCATTGTCTCTCCCAGTCTTGAGGAGCCTTCTTTCAGCTTCCTCATAGCTGTATGCCTCAAGCATTTTCCTGCTAGAAAAGGAGAGAAAAGACTGCTTTCTATTCCTGTGACATGTTACCTGGGAAGCACTAACTTGCTATGTTCAGGCTTGCTTTTAGTGTCTTCAAACATGGGGTAAACCTACTGACTGAAATCTCTTCACTGAGGTCCAAGTCAGCCAGAGGTAACAAAGCAACTCAGCTGTATGCCCAAGCCCTTACATGTTTTCACATTTCCTACAGCATCAAGGCCATTATTTTACATGAATAAGTGACAGTGTTTTAAATCTGTGGTCAGGAGCTTTAACATTTACTGTGGCTATAGTCTCTGCAGGCTTTAGGATAGGGCAGCACATGTACTTTCTTACTTGGACTTTAACAATTATTTTTATGATTACAGTTCTGTAAGGACAGGATACCACAACAGCTAGGGCTCATGCAGAGCCCACAGTATGTGAGACACGCCAGTTCTGCTGGAAGAAAGGCAGAACAGCTCAAATGCCAGTGGGAAACCAGATTCCCTGCAGAAATCTCTGAGAAAGCACCCACTGCCGTGTTGCTGCCTTCCTGTAGTACAGTCCAGGAGGACTGCACAGGGAACAACATTGCTGCAGTACATAGCAGGCTCGTGATCAGATCATTAAAGAGCAGCTGAATGACTGCTTCAGCAATGACTAAAGATATCAGAAGACAGTGCTTGACTGCAGCTAGAAAACCACTTTCAAATAGTTGGACTGATGAAACAATCAATCAGGTTGAAATAAGCTGGAAACTTGCTAGACAGTTTCTTGTACTGTGTGCTTGGCTTTGGGCGTGGGATAGACAAGAATGGTGCTTCAGTTTGCTGAGTGAGCATTTGCAGAGTTGTGTTCTCTCTATGTCCTCTTGCAGCTGATTGATAGCAAGAACTAATCTCAGAAATGAATAGGTGGTCAGAGAGAAGGAATTAAGTAATACCACAATGCTGTGTAGAGTGCAAACATGCACAGAATTCTGCTTGCATTTCTTGTCTTCTTTTAATTTGTTTTTGCAAGACAAATCCAGATAATTTTTTTCCTGGAGAAGTCAAGTAGTGCAGGATGGGTACTGACTGCTGAGGCTCAAACAGTTGGCACGCTGGTTTGGAAGACACAGTTGTCCTCTAATGCTGAGGGGCTAGTTCAGAAATGAGCAAATGTCTAATGCATTTTCTTGCAATCTTCTGTTAGAATGAACACATCAAATGGCAAAAAGCCAGCTTATAAAAGGATTTATCATTAATTTTTTCTTTTTCTTCCAGAGAGATGGTAGAAAATGGTGAAAACTTCATTGAAGTCCCCCTGATTTTTGATTCTGTCGAAGAAGAGGATTTTTACACAGACTTTACATGTCTGGCCCAGAACGGATATGGATACCAAGTACTGCCAACAAGGGTCAAGCAAGAAGGTAACTAGTTCGGCTGCTTATTTGGGATAATTATTGTCATTATTCTAATGCTAAAACATCATACAAACCTTTCATACTGTCAGAGCTAGTATCAGGATGAATTACTGCCTGGGTAAACCCTGATTGCCTCTTTCATCTGTGGGCTTTGAAATAACCTGTTCACAAAATACAGTTTCTGTGGGTCATTCAGTGACATTTTCTGCAGGGTTAAGGATCTGTGTGGGTATATCTGGTCATTGGAGAGGGCTCCAATATAGACACATTTTGTGAAATGATGGCTCCAGTGGGACTACTGGCAAACTCCCATTGGGTGCAGCAGGGCCAGATCTCCTCCAGTTCCTCAACAAGTCGGAAAAAAGACAATAGCAGAATAAAGATCAGAGTGTTCCTTCTCCTCATGCACAGACTGCCGCCAAAATAACAAGAAGTGTAAATGATGATGGGTGTTGTTATTTTGGCTCCTAAATGGGAGTGATGGGAAGAGAAGCCTTGAGCTCAGTGCAATTAATGCTGCAGTGTGATAGACTGCTGGCCAAGAACCAGCTGTAAAAACAATGTGAAGCAATGCTAATTGTTTCTTTGCATGACGTTGATGAATCACCCAAGTTTGCTCACACTGTCTTAGAAAGGCACATGAACATTTACAGTCTTCATTATGAGTTATAACTCACGACTCACTCCAGCATCCTTTGATGAGCGATTTGATCTCTTTGCTAAATGATATGCTGCCTTTGTCTTCCATGAGCTACACAGGTATTACTACAGAGGAGGCAATCCATGAACCAATATAGGCTGGAATAATCCAAAATGGTCTGGGTGAATATTGGTATTGGAAATTATCTGTATTTTGGGAAAAAGCTCAGAGTCTTGGCTTGATCATTAGTAATTTATAAACCACTCTTATATGAGAAAATTAATCACACAGCTTGAGGGTGGACCAGGCGGTGCTTTTATCTGCTGCTTGGATTGTCTCTGCTTTCAACAGATTAAGAGAAAGCACACAGCCGCTCTGGGCAGGGCTTGGGAAGAGTCACGTGAATGCAAAAGGATTGAACTTTAAATTCTCACCCTCTGTTGTTTTCCAGTTCTTTCTCCCATCATCGTAAAAGCCTATTTCCCAGAGCACTCAATCAATAGACCTCTTCATTTCACTTCCTTTCCTGATCAGGGTGATCAGCCCTGCTGGAAGGTTAACTTGCAGACATCCTTTTTATTGTGATTTCTCCTCCTCTAACTTGAACTTAGAGAACTATGTTCCTGGGAGGGTTATTTTGTGAAAATATTCCATTTCTTTACTTTTCCAGCTGTTGGCTTTTCCTGGTACATTGCAATGATTCCCATCACATTGGCCTGCATGATCGTGGTGGGGATATGCATACACAAGTGGTGGAAGTGGAGAGACGATAAAGGATACACAACAACAAAGATTTAAAATTTGCTTTATTCTCCAACCACTAACAGAAGAAAAAGTCATCCTGGCCATCCTTCACATGAGACAGAGAGACATTTCAGACTGCTTTCCCAGCAGATGGATATATATCAATTCTTTTCCTCTTCTCCATCTTCTATGATCGGATGAAGTTTTAAGCTCTCGTTTAATGCTACCTACATGCAGGAAACCTGTTTCTATTATTTTTGCAGCTAGGGTTCAATTTTGGAACACAAAATACCATGGAATGTGCCCTGGATATCAGAATTGAAAGGGAGGTGTTCGCACCCTTTGTAATTCCAGTAGTCTTAATGTTTAAGAAAATCTGAAAACAGAAGCTAAGAAAGGTTACTGCTCCACACTAGAGTGACAATGCAGTTTTGTTATGCATCCGAACTTATTTTATTTTCCTTCAGTCTAAAAAGAGTAATTTTCTCCCCTTTTCCAGAGCCAAATACAGTTGTCATGGCAACTGTGTATCTATCTGTGAACTTTTCCACAGAAAATGTGATTTTTTTTTTTCAGCAGTTGGATTATTCTCTGCTTAAATGGACTATCTCAGAATATCCCTCCCTGGAGATAACTACATCAGCATAACAGATAATTGTACACTGGAGAATTCAGTTCTGTTTATCTAACAATATCTCATAGCTAGGGATTCATAGGCAGCTGTAACATCTTGTTATCTCTGCCAAGGAAAGAATTTGGAGGGATGTTTTAGTGTTTTGAGAGTTATTTGGCTAATATATAGGTTTATTCCTGGAAGCAATTGGACAGATTGCCAGTAATAATGTGCAGTCTTACCCTTCTGTTACTCTGTCTTTCATGACTGGCCTGATTCTCCTCTCTGAGTATAGAAGTCTGGCATAGATTCCCATAAACAATGAGTCTGCACCAGTCTGAAGCTGGTGCAGCTTCAGGAACCTTCTGTCTTTTAAACTGAAGCATGCAAATCACTTACTCATGATACTAAATGCTGCCTGTTAGGTTAATGTAACTGGATTCCACTCAACATAAATCAGAAGGAAGCAATAATCAGTGGCCATGTTGTACTTTGAGGATCAGAATAAGTAGAATGACTTGATTACTTCCTCTTCCAAGAGATAACACTCATGATAGCCGAGAAGTAGTTCCATCATATATAATGTGTATTATCTTCAACTGTATGGGAGGCGAACAGATTCAGCTGTAAGGTCTAGTTACATAACTGACATCTCTCACAGACACCGAAGATAAAGCTTTTTATTTGGGTAAATGAGACAAAATCAGAGGTTTTTCAAACTCTGTAGGTTAAAATAAAAATAAAAATTAAAAAACAAAAATCAGGAAAAATATTGGCTCCAAAGGAATAAACTGTAATGTAGGAATGTTAGGAGTACATGAGATTCCACAAGCTAGGGAAATGAAAAAACTTGCACCCATCTGGGAGAGACCATAATCTAATATTTTACCACCACCACTTATAGCTGTTGCTGAGTTTAGCCCAATAACTATCTGGAACTATTTTAAAGAAGACTAGAACGTGGCTTGAATTAAGAAACCCTTCAATCTATTAACAAGAACCTTCATGTTTTTGAGATTTAAGCCAAAGTCTCCCTTTAAATGTTCTAAATGTTTGCTGTTAAGATGCAGGCACAGAGATTAGATTTCTGGCACAATCTGAGTCAATGGCAACCAAAGAAGACCACTGGACTTACTGCTTCTGAGTGCAGGATGTTAAAGAGGATGATAAAGAATACATGTATTTTGTGGGCAGATGGGAAAAAGGTGGCTGCAAGTGTGGAAAGCAGTCAATCCACTTGGATATCAATTCTTTGAAGGAAGAAAACTATAGATTAATTGACCATTGCTGGAAGGAACATCAAAAATGGTTTAGGTACATCAGGAATGCTAATTTTTATGAAGCAGTTGCTGGTTTGTAGCTAGGGAAGAAATGAGGTTTGCCAGTAACTGTAACCTTTCCAAATATGATTTGTTCTTCCTGTCCTTCATCTGTATCCTCTGTGAGTAGTGTGGTAACACATCTGGCTGTAGGCACGTGGTTGGATTTCACTAAGCTGTGGAAAAGAAGCAGAACTTCTGGTACATGGAGTATCAGTGACATAAGAAAGATCCTCCTCCAAACTAGAGAGTGAGAAAGAAATGTGAGATAAAAATCAGGCATACAGAGAACAGATGTTACATACTCAGGGACATCTTGAATACAAGGGGAATGTAAAGAAAAAAAGGTTTATCTTTTATGAAGTGATACTTGCTTCTCTGACTACAGATATAGTAATATTCTGCAGGCTTTCACCACAGGAAGACTCGTTCAAGCAATGTTTTACAGGTAGTCTTGAACAAGAGACCTACATAATGTAAATGTTTTACATAGATTTGTTTTGTTATAAACAAGGGTATTGTCGCCTGTATTGGTTGTCAAAATGTTATGTGAAAAATGGACAAAAAAAGTAAGACCAAACCAAAGTACTGGTGTGTGAGTTGGGTGGGAAGGAAGCTGTGAGATGGCTCTTTGGGGGTGTCAGCTCTTTCCAGGAGAGGTTTGATTTTGCCAGCACTCTGCTACAGGGGAACTCATCCCCTGGGGGCATAGCAACCGCGGCTCTGTGGGGCTGTGGGACAAGCTCTGTCCTTCAGTCCTTCAGCTGCTTCTGCTCTTCACCCTGCGACGGTGCCTTGTCACACCAAAGGGGGACCGAATCCTGATGGGCCAAGTTCCCCTCCTGACTGCCACCATGTTCATGGCTGACCTTGCTCTGCAGTCCGCTGAGTGTTTGGGTTCACTCTGGGCAGCTCCCTCTGCCTACCAGCTGTTGAAGAAGTATTGTGTTCCTCCACTGACTTCAGTTGCGAGGCTTCTGGAACTGTAACTTAACACAGATTATCACTGTGGGAATGTGAATTTAGCATGTGCTCCCCAGGTGGGGAGATCCGTCTTATTCACCTTCCCAAAGGCAAAATTTTTGTCTTTCCTTTTTTTCAGTCAAAATTGGAGAACTCCAGTGGTCACTGTACTTTAGGTAGATCCATCCCAGGAAGTTCAGTCACTAACCTCAATGCATTTTGAGGGGAAAATGTCCTGAATCTCAAGGCAAATTGAGACTGAAGACTTACTTGTGCTGGTTTATAATTGGACCTGAAGAGAAATGCAGTATCAGGGAATGCCACCTCATATCAAAGATTCAGGATTTTACACCACAGTGTTTCTATTCAGAAAAATTAATGATGTAAGGAGAATGAGGCCACTGTGTTCTGAGGGCTGTGTGGGTTTATAGCATTTGCCAGAGAGCTCATCTGTCTGCAACAACTTCAGAGGCACACCTACAGATGGGAAGAGGCTGGTGTCCCATGGTCTTGGCATGAATTAGCATCCAGGACAGAGGCTGCTCCTGCAGAAGTAGTTCTTTTCCATCAACATAGAATCACAGAATGGTTTGGGTTGGAAGGGACCTTAAAGATCAACTAGTTCCAACCCCCTGCCATGGGCAGGGACACCTTCCACTAGACCAGGTTGCTCCAAGCCCCATGCAACCTGGCCTTGAACACTGCCAGGGATGGGTTATCCACAGCTTCTCAGGGCAACATGAGTTCAGTTAACAACTATTATCTTGTTTTACTCAGCATATGTGATCTTCATGGCAGCTATTCATCTAAATAGGCAGTATAACTAATATTTGACGAGAGTAGCACCTAAAAAAAAGTAAACATGGAATTGGGAAAGCACCAAATAATTAGGTCTGCTGGTTCCCAAACAAAACTGTTAAATAAATGTGGGAGAAAATGGAAATAAGAATTGGATCCACACACAGAGCTCAAGATAAGAAGGTTACTGTTAAAAATTTATTTTATTCTTGTAGCTGGGGACAGAAGGTGTGTGTGCAGGAGGACAAGAAACGTGGAATACCTTTGCCAGGAATAATGCTTTAAGTATGAGAATAGCTGATGGAAGCATTTGATGATTATTCTAACTCAAGTCTGCAAAGCAAAATGCCCAGAAGAGCAAAACAAAGTAAGGAATAGGTCTTAAGTTTTGGAACTGAGAACTCCCTGTCCACTCATAACCTTGGAGCAGCTAAATATAGCCTAGGGTGGGGTACTTCTCATCCAGCCTTCACACAGCCAAAAGGAATACAGCCAGCTCAAGCTAGCCATTGATGTTTCCTCTCCAGTCAGTGAAGAAAGAGGTATCTCCAGTGCCTAAACTAAATGGGATGAATTTCCCTCTAGAGGTGCCCGTCTTTTTCCGCCAGTTTAAGACGAAGTGAGACTAATCCATCCTGGATTACAGGAAGAATTGTTTGTGGACCACTGGATTTCAGGTTATCAGAGAGGTTATAAGAAGAAACAGGCTTAAGACCAGAGACATCCTTTCACATAGCTGAAGCTGCTTGGCTTTCTTGGGAAATGGCTTTAATGCTAGCAGTTCCCTGGGCAGAGCAAGGACACAGGCTCATGATAAATTAAAGTACTGTAAGAGGTTGGGAGGCAGGTACAAAGGTATGTATTGTGGAATCCAACAGAACAGGCAGGCTGAAAATCCAAGCTTGATGCCTTGGAAAAACATTTGTGGGTCATGGAGCACGTGGTCACGAAGTGCCACAGCTTTTACAGGAAGAAAGGAAAGAGCTGCTGTATGTGTGTAGCTGAAATACACAGAGCCTCCTCAGGACCAGAAGGAAGTCTGTGAGCTGGGGGCTCTCAGGCATGCATGGGGCGCTGCCAGCCCTTTCACAGCACTCAGACAGCTTAACTTCCACTGCAGCCAGTGCCCGCCTGCTCCTACCAGGCACTGCGGGGCAACAGCAGCAGAAAGGAAAACATACTGCTATGTGCAAATGAAATACCGTAACAGCAGCCTGCTGCTAGTGGACAAACAGACTGCTGATAAGAAAACCACTAAAAGTATATATAACTCATTAGTCTGCTTTAGTGTGTTCATTGCATTGGAAATTATAGTCTGTATCAGTTTATATGTTAGCTAGTATATACAATGTAAACAGCTT